CTCGGATTCCTCCCCCAAGCGGGGTACAGCCCCCGCCGTGGGCTTGCTCCCCGGGGCTCCCTATAGCAGAATTTTTGACACCATATTTTCTTTTACCCCACTGCTCAACCGCTGGAAGCTGGTCCATCCTTGCTGCTTGACACAGTCGCTGCAGGGAAGAAACATCTGCACAGCATATGTTTCAAGGGACCTGGCATATATGGCATACTGTTCTTAATATGTTTGCTCACCTTCTTGGTGCTATATGTTTTAACCAAGGTCACCTCTGAGAAGGTTTTTTCCCCAGGTAGGGATTTTTCCCTGAAGTTAGGGAGGGAATAAAACCCCTTAACTAAATGCCAGGCGGGTAGTTAATCACTTTAACTATGAACAATCACCCTTAAGCTACATAATCTTTACTCCCTGGAATGGAGATAAGAAACACCCTAACCTTTGGAATAGAAATTGACAGGATTAAAATCAACTGGTATAAATACAGATATCACAAGACAACAAAACACAGAACTTGGCTAGAGATCCTGGCTAGGCTGCTGATCAACTGAAGGCTGTCTCCGTGTCATTCCTTCTTTGCCGACTCCGTCCACACCTTTGGGGACCCCTGGACCTGCTGGGGTTGGACTTCAACATCTGGTGCCTGAACAGGGACCCTTAGGTAAGTCCCCCTCCTCAGTGTCGCGAGTTGGCGCCGCGGCCTCCCCCGCTCCGCGCTCTTGTGCCATAAGGAGCCCTTCTGGCACCCTCTCCTCCCTCGGGCCAGTCCTCCCCCAAGAGGCGGCCGCCCCCACTTAAGCATCAGTGCTTTTCTCTCCCCGTGGAGCCGGGGCAGCGGCAGAGGCAGCAGCAGGAGGAGGAGCCCGGAGGCGGCGGCCGGCCGGGGAGCCCATGGCGTACAGTCAGGGAGGGGGCAAAAAGAAAGTCTGCTACTACTACGATGGCGATATTGGAAACTATTACTATGGACAAGGCCATCCTATGAAACCTCATAGAATCCGCATGACCCATAACTTGCTGCTAAATTATGGCTTATATAGAAAAATGGAAATATATAGGCCCCATAAAGCCACTGCTGAAGAAATGACAAAATACCACAGTGATGAATACATCAAATTTCTACGTTCAATAAGACCAGATAACATGTCTGAGTATAAGAGATTTAATGTTGGAGAAGATTGTCCAGTGTTTGATGTCAACTGGAGGCTCAGTTGCTGGAGCTGTGAAGTTAAACCGACAACAAACCGATGTGGCTGTTAATTGGGCTGGAGGATTACATCATGCTAAGAAATCAGAAGCATCAGGATTCTGTTATGTTAATGATATTGTGCTTGCCATCCTTGAATTACTAAAGTATCACCAGAGAGTCTTATATATTGACATTGATATCCATCACGGTGATGGTGTTGAAGAAGCTTTTTATACAACAGATCGTGTCATGACTGTATCATTCCATAAATACAGGGAATACTTTCCTGGAACAGGAGACTTGAGGGATATTGGTGCAGGAAAAGGCAAATACTATGCTGTCAATTTTCCAATGAGAGATGGTATAGATGATGAATCTTATGGGCAAATATTTAAGCCTGTCATCTCAAAAGTGATGGAGATGTATCAACCTAGTGCTGTGGTGCTACAGTGTGGTGCAGACTCGCTATCTGGTGATAGACTTGGTTGCTTCAATCTGACAGTCAAAGGTCATGCTAAATGTGTAGAAGTTGTAAAGACTTTCAATTTACCATTACTGATGCTTGGGGGAGGTGGATACACAATTCGTAACGTTGCTCGCTGTTGGACATATGAGACTGCAGTTGCCCTTGATTGTGAGATTCCTAATGAATTGCCATCTAATGATTACTTTGAGTATTTTGGACCAGACTTCAAACTGCATATTAGTCCCTCAAATATGACAAACCAGAACACTCCAGAATATATGGAAAAGATAAAACAGCGTTTATTTGAAAATTTACGCATGTTGCCTCATGCACCTGGTGTCCAAATGCAAGCTATTCCAGAAGATGCTGTTCATGAAGACAGTGGAGATGAAGATGGAGAAGACTCAGACAAGAGAATTTCTATTTGAGCATCAGACAAACGGATAGCTTGTGATGAAGAATTCTCAGATTCAGAGGATGAAGGAGAAGGAGGTCGTAGAAATGTGGCTGATCATAAGAAAGGAGCAAAGAAAGCTAGAATTGAGGAAGACAAGAAGGAAACAGAAGACAAAAAAGCTGATGTTAAGGAAGAAGATAAATCCAAGGATAATAGTGGTGAAAAAACAGATACCAAAGGAGCCAAATCAGAACAGCTCAGTAACCCTTGAATTTGCAAGTCTCCAATTTCAGAAAACATTAAAAAATAAAAAAATATTGGCAAGAAAAGTGTTTTCTTTTTGAAGACTTCTGGCTTCATTTTATACTACTTTGGCATGGACTGTATTTATTTTCAAAATGGCTTTTTTCTTTGGTTTGTTTTTGTTCTTGGCAAGTTTTAGTGTGAGTTTCTAATTATGAAGCAAAATTTCTTTTCTCCACCATGCTTTATGTGATAGTATTTAAAATTGATGTGAGTTATTATGTCAAAAACTGATCTATTAAAGAAGTAATTGTCCTTTCTGAGCTGATTTTTCCATCTTTTTTTTTAAAAAAAAGGGGGGGGGCAATTTGCCAGAAGCCGGTCCATCCTTGCTGCTTGACACAGTCGCTGCAGGGAAGAAACATCTGCACAGCATATTGTTTCAAGGGACCTGGCGTATATGGCATACTGTTCTTAATATGTTTGCTCACCTTCTTGGCGCTATGTGTTTTAACCAAGGTCACCTCTCTGAGAAAGGTTGTTTCCCCAGGTAGGGATTTTTCCCTGAAGTTAGGGAGGGAATAAAACCCCTTAACTAAATGCCAGGCAGGTAGTTAATCACTTTAACTATGAACAATCACCCTTAAGCTACATAATCTTTATTCCCTGGAATGGAGATAAGAAACGCCCTAACCTTTGGAATAGAAATTGACAGGATTAAAATCAACTGGTATAAATACAGATATAACAAGACAATAAAACACAGAACTTGGCTAGAGATCCTGGCTAGGCTGCTGGTCAACTGATCGCTGTCTCCGTGTCATTCCTTCTTTGCCGACTCCGTCCACACCTTGGGGAACCCCTGGACCTGCTGGGGCTGGACCCCAACACTCACTTGTCTGTGCTGTGCATCTCCCCAGAACTTAGTACAGTCCTCCGAGGTAGAGTAGGGACTTGCTGAGTATTTAATTCATGGGTAAATGAATAGTTCTACACCATTAGAAATAAAATGTGAGCATAGCAAATGAGTTTGCTAACATACAAGTAAGGTAATTTTCAATAATGGGAAATAAACCATGGATAAAGATTTTTTTTTTCACAACAAAGAAAAGAAAAGCATGGCTCAGTGGCTGAGTGTCCACCTATGAACCAGGAGGTGAAGGTTTGACTCCTGGTCAGAGCACATGCCTGGGTTGCAGGCATGATCCTCAGTGTGGGGCATACAGGAGGCAGCTGATCAATGATTCCCTCTCATCATTGATGTTTCTATTTCTCTTTCCCTCTCCCATCCTCTCTAAAATCAATAAAAATATTTTTTAAAAAAGAGGCATTATTAAAATTTCCTTTAAAAAAAGAAAAGGATGTTCCCATATATTAGCTGAAATTTAGGCTTTTCCTAAGATAATGTCTTGCCTTTCTCATTGGTTAAATCAACAGACATTTTTAAGGAGGTCCTATGTCCCCACCCTCCACCCCCCACATGGTGCTAGATATCACTCTTATGAGCCTCCTCCCTTGTTTGGTGGACAGTCATGTAAATATCGTTATAGCAGCTTTAACAGAGCTATGAACAGACCGCTAAGAGGACCCAGAGTGAATTGGAAAAGGTTTATGGTTGACATTTGAGCTGTAGTTTGAGAAATTAGCCAGATTTTTAACAGAAGTGGAAGTAGGGGAAGGACACTTCCAGCAGAGGAAAGAGCACAGATAAAAGGACACTAAAGTACCACAGTGCTCAGGAATGAAAATACACCCCACACTCAACTTCAGGAAGAGCAAACATCTGGGAACCCATGATTCTGTTTTGTTCTGGTCTTTAACACACACTATGGCGACTGTCAGTTGATTTGCCTTTCAGTAACCAATAAGGTCCTATAGCTTAAAGCCTGTGCATTATTCCTACCTGCACCCGGGGAAGTACTGCAGTGATTTTGATATACTTGCTACTTGAGTGTGATTGAAAAGTTTGGGTGTCTGACCTAGGGCTGGAAAGGAGATGGATGGGACAGACTGAAGCAGGCTAGGTCCTTCTAGTCCATGGAACATGATGTGGACTTCACCCTCTGGGGCTTCCAACAAGTCTTGAGGGGAGGAGTCTTTTTAAAATGGTTTTAAAAAGTTGATCTTGGCACTCTCCCTCCCCTCACTCTTCCCCTACGCACCTTTAAGGGACCCCCCCTCTAACCTTTAAGGGACCCCATGAGACTTGCAACCAGGGGAGCAATGGGCAGGGGCAGCTTGTCCTAGGCTAAGCCCCTGAATCTGTCTCCAAGGCCACCTTTTCCTCCCTTTCTCTGACTTCCCAGTGAGCCACGGCAGCCCTGCCTAGGGTGTCCTGCTACTTCTTCTATGCCCTTCCTTGTCTCACTGTCCTAAGTATATTTTTGCTGTGCTTAATAACTTCTTGCTTGCTTTAAAAAAAGGTTGATCTTACTTTTTAAAGTAGAAACGCTGCAAACATGTGTTTTATGTTACAACCTCACATCCCAAGGTGAAAATGGATGTTTCATTTGAATCATGTGTCAAAAACAACCACCACCAACAATCACAGGGGAACAAAACACCCAGTGTTGATTGTTCAGGAAGGATCACATGACATGAACAGAAAGTAAGAGATGCCATTTAAATATAGTGTTTTCTCCTATCATTTAGGTTTGTAGTCTTTTTTGTAATTGAGGAACTTGACTGTATAGCAAGATGAAAATCTAACTTACCAACTTTAGAGAATTATTCCTGGTCTCTCACAGGTGGACCCCATCACTGGGCCCAGGGATGATGTCACCGGGAAGAGCAGAGGCCTTCCTCTCAAAGGTTACAAGTGGACATAAGCTTAGAGGAGGCACCTGAGAAGGGCTCTGCAACATATCCAACAGGCAGGTTCTCTTGGAAAGTGAGCTTTCAACGTTTTTGTTTTTTCCCCTCTAAAATCTAACACATGATTTCAGTGTTAGAAGAAATATCAGCCTTATGTGATTATTCTCCCTAAAGACAGTCTTATGAATATCGTTATTTAACTTTCAAGTTGTCTTAGAGCTAGGATGTGAAAACACATCACAGAGCAGGAAGCACCCCACACTGGTGGCAATACTGTGACTTTACCAATAGATTCCTGTAAGTGCAGAATGAAGAACCTATAAGAAGCATGGGTGCACCAAAAGCCTGGGCAGGGTGACCCAGAAAGCCATTGTAACAGGGGTCAAATCCTATAATTTGGCCTAATTCATAAATGTCTATATACCATCAATAATCAATTAGAGCAGGTGTACAGAAAATCAGGCAGCCAGTTAAAAAAAGGTGTGCATGCTTTTCTTTTGTTTTTTTCTTCCCACAGAATGGTCAGAGGTGGGTGACAAGGTCGTGTTTGGGAAGACACCCGAATTTTCAGCGCTCCCCCTGAAACCTTAGAGAAAATAGCTGCCAGGCCCAAGAGCGAGGAGAGACTGAGGCACCTGCGACCTGGCCGCCTTCTCCTCAGCCCGCTCAGGGGGCTGCCGACCGCCAGAGGAGAGGTCCGGGGAACGGGGTCCGGGGATGAGGGGGCCGGGGGTTGAACTCAGACGGATCTCAGCGCTTCCCCAGGTCGCGGAGGGGGCGCTGGGGAGGGCGGGGTGGGGCCGGGAAGCGTGGACGGGGCGGGGCGGTGTGCGCGGGGCGGGGGCTGGCTGCGTGCGCG